CCCGATATCACTCAACGCCGTTACTTCCACCCTATGTGCAACTACACTACACTGTACACAATATATTTGTGACTGTGATGCTTACAACCGAAAATACCCTCTCTTGAAACATCGGTTGCCGCTTGGTTTCATCAGCAGGGTTGCCTGACTTGATGCATAAGGAAAAACATGCTACTACTGACGCCTCTCTTCATGATTTTCGCGTACCCTCCCTCCTTTCACCCTATCCTACTCAAATCTGAATGCTGTCTCTGTTTGTCCGAGCATTAGGCCTGACCGCTTTGTTTGTCATGCATCACGCCAAGCCACATATTCTGAGCGTGCAATTTCACTAACAATCTTATAAACACTTTGAAGTCTACTTTTTTCAAAGCTGTTCTGCTTAGTTGCCTTTAATGTTCGCGCACTGAAGCGAACGGGGTAACAATCGGCTCTTGCTCGTACGGTGGATTCCCTCTGCATGGATGCATCTTGTCGTTCAGAATCAAGGACCAAAGTCGCAAGCAATGTAATTGAAATGACTGCCCCATCTCTTCCAGTTCCCGGTGATGCGGAGGCCTCAGCGAGCTGGACTCATTGAGAGATCGATCGGCAGCGTATCTAGTTGATTAGATATCTGTTGATAGTATCCTCTTCGCACGGCGATGAAGCGTCCGTGTCGAACCGATGCTGGTGTCTTTGACGAGGATGCACAACCAGACAAAACTGAAGGTATCGACGTTTGGAGTACCATCACCGGCTCCTCGGCTGACGGGTTTACGAACTGGCTGGTCAGAAAGACAGCCTATTCAAGTGACAAACTATTCCACACATCATAAACGAGAGATTCAGTTGAGTCTCTGGTGAGAACCATATTGATTTGCAAATGAGTGTATTTCTCGAAAACAGTGCAATTTGGGTTCAATTAGATCATAATGTTGACGGAAACTCGGGGATTGCGCCTACCTGATGAGCCCCAAGAAGGGCGGAACCAGTCGTGGGCTGTCGAGGAGTTTTCAGCAACCTTGTGAGTAGTTTCCTTTATGAAGACAAACTTTTATTTGGGTGGGAGACATACACCGAGTATTTGCCCTAGAATTGACTTTATCCAGTGTGTATGAAACATCTGACGTTCACAACTATTTTAGCCCAACAGTCTGGGTCTGCTGAGGATGGCAGGTGGGTAATATAAGTTGTCTCCAGTTCGCCAGAAGTATCCCAAATGTACTGAGTCATTTGGATCCAACCAAGATCGCGCTAGTTTAGGTGAAATTGCGCTCAAAAAATGTCACTATGCCTTCATCGTAGGACTCCATATCCCTCTCCAGAGACTGATGGACAATAATTGTTCGAGCATTGACTTCCTAAATAGTTCTACCTGTGTAACGGTGATAATACTGATGGAGAGGCACGCGAGTAGTATGTGTTGTTCGTAGAATTTCGCTTTGCGTCTATTGAAAAAGGGAGATCTGTTGCGGAATTCGTGGAGCCACTTTGTAACATTTGCTTCGATTTGACCGACGAATGAGTGGAGTCAATGAATCTCTAGGAAAGTTCAAGAAGGCTCGTTCGGGAGATGGGTGTCCAGTTTTTGTGACTAACATGCAAATTAGAGTTTTGCTTCCCTGTTCAATGGTCTTTAACCGGTCAGTTGGCATTTCCTATTAAATAACTCCGCAGCGAAGGCCTTCTTCCTTTCACCTGAACCTACAACGTTTCTTTCCTTCAGAGTGAAAGAAATCTTCGCACCGATGCCTTCGAAAAGGCGATTGCGGATGTATTTTTCCAATAGTTACGTTGTGCTAACAAATATCAGTCGCCCAAATCTACACACTGTGAGCAACCTCTTTCCTGGGATGGGCTGGCCTTGGGGTTGTTGGGCCATGCGTTACCAGGTCCGATCGATATAACCGGGAAAAGTATCCTATTCAGCCTGATAAGCCCCCGTTCAAAATTCTTAAAAATCGATCAATACCTATCACCATAAGCTCCAAACTACGCAAACAACCCGCAAAGGATGGATATCCTCTTGGCAATCAAAGGTCGGCTTGCAGCAAGTACCTCTGGTCACTTTGAGGCAGCACCGACAGTGATCAGGAACATACATCCGCACACTACATCAGGGCAATACAAATGTACTCGTTCCCGCAACTTCCATAGATTCGCACATCATTGCGCAGTTGTTTTTGGGCTCCACAATATGCGCGCCATCGATTCACCCGTCCAACACATGCCTTCCCGGTCGGTTCTACTTAAAATCGCCAGCTAGTAAACGCTCTTGTTTCATAACCGACGCTTGAGTGCCGTTCAGCCGCATCGAGATAAGGTCTGTCCACTGGTGTTGTCGTACTATCATACGCCGGTTCTTAGTCACACCGATTTCACTACCATCATTCGAATGCCCTGTGCGGACCACATCCCGGGAAGAAAACAGTCAAACCCCATCCCAAACGCTCGTTTGCATCATGAGAATCAGTGAACTATGTGCATCAGCTGGACGATCGGTCTTTCGAGTCTTGGAAGGCTCTTGATGTTACGAGTTCTTCAACTGAATTTAAAATGATATCGTACGGGAATCATGGGCACGTATGCCCATGAAATCCTTTTCAGTGGGTGTTCTGAGTCCGCTGGTCGGGGTTCGTAGGGGGAATACTCAGTGCAGCGAGTGGGATTGCATTGACTGGCTACTTCGTAGTGAGAAGGGTATCTTCCATTTGAACCATAGTATGTCACCACAAAACTTCCCTCTACTTGGAGGTCTATTACAGTCCAAACGGTGGTTCGTTAATGGGGGCGAGATGGACCAAGTGGTTAGAGCGCGAATTTACTGACCGGAAGATCCGTGGTTCGAACCCGACTTCTCCCTCTCGACTCCTCTGTCTAGGCTTGGGCAACCTGGCAGTATCCCAGCCCTCGTGCTTCCTTCTGGTGGGATGGCAGCCAGGCACCGGAAGGGTGCTACAGCTGAACGACTGGTTCGTTAATTCTGACAGACTTCGCCAACTGCGTCTCACTTCAGCAGTCTTCGCATACCGTTTGTTGCGCCTCATGTGGTTTTTCCGTAATCCACACATTAGGCGAGCCGATACACCGTGCATTTTGCATCAGTGCAGTGTTCTAGCCGAGCGGCACCAGAATTGAGCTCCTGAATTGCACCTGTCTGTAACCCTCACACACCCGAGGAGAGGGTAACAGTGACGGCTCCACACGTGGTACATGCAACAAGCGCAGGTCTATAGATTGCATGTGTGAAAGAACTCAGTGTGTCGATTAGAATCTTGAGCGAGCCGCTTGGGTTTCGTTGAGGCGCATAAAGTGCACCGTCAGGGAAACTAGTCTTTGCCAGTACGTGGAGGATGATCGGCCTAAACATATTTCACAAATGGGATGTTACAAAGGCCATACTCTTGTTTCGGATACACTGTATCCATTCGCTTCAGTCAGTCCTGAAGGGCAAGCAGTTTATTCGGAATACTGACGTTCGAACAAGATGGTTGTCAAACCCACTAACGAGGAATTGTCTCACAAAGTGCAGGGTGTTTCGGGTGATATGCTTTCAAAATGCGACCTGCATTCAAGCGCCGTGCTTTCAATCTCTCTGCTTGTTTTTTTTAACACGCAGCAATACTTCGATTGATCATAACCCAACATTACACAAACTGGATATGAAATCCCGTGATTTTATTGAAATTGTGTTAGTGCACAGATCCCTTCATCTGAACAAAGTTTAGCTCAAAGGTTGTGGGAAACTGTACAGAGGCCAGCCATTCCTAATAACTGAACATAACTGAACTGGACGGATGTGTCACGTCACGAAGGCATGCCCTGATTGGTCAGAATGCCAGCCAATCCGAGCCAAGCACCTTTGGCTCGACGCTTCTCGCCCCCTCACGGAGATTCTGGCACGAACTTGTGGAACGCTCTGTGACTATCCTATAAATACAGTTGTAATGATTCTCCTTTGTCTCCATAAAGGGCTGTCTAGAGCTACTGTACCTTTTGATATACCATAGTGGGCGGAGCAGGAAGCCAAGCGACCGATACAGAGTTGCACTACCGTTCAGCAAGTTACAACGAAAACACAAAACATCTCCCGGTGAAAGGAAGAAGGCCTTCGGTGCGGAGTTGTTTATTAGGGAAACACCAACTGAACAGTTACAGACTATTGAACAGGGGAGCGAAACTCTAATATGCACCTTGCTTATAAAACTGAATACCCATCTTCTCCTTGAACGCATCTTTCCGAACTTTTCTGGATATTCATTGACTGTTACTCGAATGCAAGCAAATGCTACAGAGCGACTCCACAAATTCCGTAATGGATCTCATTTTTCAAGAGACGTGAAGCGAATTTACGAGAAAACATACTACTCACATGCCTCCAATCAGTAGTATCACCGTTACACCGGTAGAGTGACGTGGTGGATGGGAAAAATTTATGCGCCCGGATTACGAGATTGCTGCCACACGGACGCGCAAGAATTGCCGTTAATCATCGATGACGCACCAGTGCACCCTGGAAGGTATGTGATTCACGGTCCAACAGACAAATGCGTTCACGGTTGGGAGATACCTGTCGGTGCCCCGACCACTGTGCGATAACGAAATTCGGCGAGATAGAGACTCGGACAAAAAGACGGAAAACATTTTTCCGACGGCACCCAGGAATACGTTTTTCATTGGGAGGCCAAGGACCCCTAGCTCAGAATATCGAAAGCGTGATTGCTCAGTTGAAGAGAAGGGAATGCACATCAACTCTGAAGCTGGGTTTCTCGAACGTGGTTAATAACCTAGATATGGATCTCGTTCCAACCAGACTATTGACGATTGGTCCCATAAACGATGCAGACTTGTTCTAATCTGGAGCGGTGCATTAAACTAGAGAAATGACAAATGCGTATGCACAATAAAGCGTGAAAACACCGCCAGCTGATTAATTTATTCGAGAGCGAGCGAGACATAATCCGACTGTTGCGACAGGGTATTATACCCTTATCTTGTAGACAGGAGTACACAGAGTCGCTTTCACATAGTTTACCAAAGTTGCCGATTAAGGGATAACTGTATGGTTATTCAGAAACCGTTTTTTCATAAAAACGAATGTAGTTCAACACTTTAGGCGATGCGTTTTATAATATGTATACCAGAGTCCGTATAAACAGGGCCACACATTTCGTCTAGTTTCAAGTTGAAAGCAGCCTCCTCGAAAGGCTTTTGCATTTGACCACGAGAGAAGAAACCCAAGTCACCGCCCGAGGAAGCTGAACTGCAGTCACTTTCTGTGCGCGCTAGCTCTTCAAATGAGATTTCACCGGATTCAATTCGTTTTTTGTAGTCTGAAACAAGAAACAAAGTAGAGAAAGGAGACAATTGAGACTGGAAAAGGTGACCACGAAGTCGAGAAAATTGCAGTATGATCGGACGCAACGTTGAGAATCCACATGCATCAAAGTATAGGTAACTTCGTAAGTCGGAAAGTGAAGAGATGTGAGGTGAGTGTTACAAGCTGAGAGCAGGTCAGATAGATCGGAGGTCGAATCTCAACTAACCAGTATAACACAGAGAAGAAGAACAGTAGTACTGCACCCACCAAAGGTGACAGCCAATAGCACACGAACTGTGTGAAACTGATGGGATTGGACGTAGTTAATCTTGTCAGCAGTCCACTGCTGCTGATATGCTGTCATCAGTATCAAGTAGCTTCAAAATAGATGCTCTCTTGAACAGATTAAACCTAGCGCATTCCTCCATTCAGTTCACTTGTGACACCGAAAGATGAAAATGCATTCCACTAGGACGTTAAATAAGTCAGACTATCTAAGGGTTCCGTTTACAGAAGACCCATGTGGACACGGAACACTGGCCAGAGAATTGGCAGATAAGTTGATCGCACTGCACCATCCGATGGATAAGGGTGGGGTGACCAAAACTGCAGCAGCTAAAATCAATGTACCCATGGTTTATAACTGATAAATTGATTGGTTGAGAGTCCGTTGGAACTCTGCACACTGGATGGGGAAACCTAAGGCACACTGAATGCACTTCAGATCATGAAATTTTCCGGAGTAGTGTTTCAAACCACTGGAATTTGAAAGCGACGAAAAGCAACTGAAAAACAGGCTACTGTCGACCACGGTGAAGCTCCACCGTTACTCTGAGAACTAATCAATGAGGTGAATTCACAGGAATATTCCAAATTCCAAACTAGGTATCACACCAACTATACACTGCTAGAAGTACATCTGTCATCGACTGCTATTCATACTGGGTCCATGCACACTTGTAGTATCTTTTACTCGCCGATCCATCCGAATGAGGGGTAGAATCAGGAGTAGCTGAAAAGCTTGTTTCCCGTGAATGATTCTCTTGACCAAGATGTCACAAATTTGTTACACCAGAAATCACGTGCAAAGGTCATGTGACAAATGTGAGTATATATTGTTCAAAGAAAGAAAAAGGGACAAGGACGGGAACTATAAGTGCCAATGGGATAAGGATGAAGCCAACATCTGATAATTTTGTGGAACCAGATTCATAACAGTTCAGATCAATTGCGGATGCCGCACGGGTTTCTTTTGGACGCAAAGCTGTGGGTAACACGATATGATTCCAGTCGCTTTTGCGGTCGATCCAGAGTATTATCGATCGAGGTGACTGGAATCTGACCGCATTACCCAAAACTTTGCACCCAAGACAGGCTTGCGCGGCATCCGAGCTGGCCTGCCGAGAGTCCGGCGCCGCAAATCTACCGAACATTGAGAGCCTTACTTGTCACAAACTAGACATTACAGCAAAATAACTCTGGCAAGTTAGTTCGGCTAGAATGTGACGGCACGATCACCACTGGGAACGGTTACGTGTCGCGCACGAATATCAGCACAAAGTTTGCCTGCAGCCGCTAAAATTTCGCGGCCCTCCGCTCTACTCCCGGCGCGAAACACCTAACAACAACAACCAGATGGAAAAACACACTTTCATTGGCGGACGACGGTTGAGCGTCAACCATCTCTATGTGAGACGGTCTGTTGTCTGTTCCGGAAATTCTGGATCGCACCAATTCGCCGGAGGTATGCTGCGGTCAGCTGGCACCTGATATATCAGGTGGGTCCATTTGATGAACTCTTCTAGGCGTTGAGGATTGGAAGCACCAAGTTTCACGACCATAAAGTAGGACTAGTGTTACAATCGTCCTTGCGCTTCAGTCAGAGTCGATTCTGATGCCACAAATGGCACATGCTGACAATGTGTATTTTGACTTGTCATGGTACAGTCGAGATCTATTCAGCTACCAAGATGGAAAAAGCCGAGCTGCTTACGGTGAAGTTTCGTAGGGAAACGCCAACTAAACAGCATCGAAGGCGTAGTCTGAGTCAACTTAACTTTTCCCATTTGGATTCGTGGATTTATAGGACGTTTGGAAGGCGCCCTCCATAACTGACAGAACTGATCAAACAGGAGAAAAGAGATCAGCCCTGGCGAACCCGACTAATTGGGAGAAAACTCTCGGGATGTTCAAAGAATACTGTTGCATGGGAAGAAATGTGAGAATAGGGAGCGTGTGGTCATACAATTCAGGGGGCATTTTCATTTACCGCAGTACAGCTAAAATAGTCATTTCATCTAAAGCATTACGCATGGCGCATCTAAACGCTCAATGAACCCGTTATCAGGCGCTCTCAGATTTGCTTTCGAGATATCGGATTCGTTTCAGTATGAGGGAATTTAGCATCTATATCGACTGGTGTGGGGCTTATGCATTATATTTGTAGCAGTCCTTCGGGTTTCCCTTACAAAATCGTTCCAATTTCCCCACACATGCTCCCCTTCCTAAATGGGCTCACACAGTCAAATTAAAACACAAAGGTTCACCATCATCTTGAAATAACAATTGTTGAAGCACACATGACACAGGAGCCAATGCAGTACATATTGGTATTCTATAAACTCAAGGAAAGATACAAAGTGACAGCGAGCCACTTAATTTGAGCGCGTCACTAAAGCACCTAAATCGTTCAGCTGTAACACTCTTTCGGTGCTTAGCTGCCATGTCAGTCGAAGGAAGCACGAGGGCTTGCATACTGCCAGGTTGCCCAAACCTAGACAGGAGAAGTCGAGAGACAGAAGTCGGGTTCGAACCAAGGACCCTCCGGTCAGTAAATTCTCGCTCTAACCACTTGGGCCATCTATGTCAGAAGCGAAATATTGTTCAGATAAACCCAATCAACGTTTCTTAGACAGCAGTCACGTCCACCTCTATACTGTGTGAAATAAATGCAACGCTCGCTCTAACACTTGGGCCATCTATGTCAGAAGCGAAATATTGTTCAGATAAACCCAATCAACGTTTCTTAGACAGCAGTCACGTCCACCTCTATACTGTGTGAAATAAATGCAACGACTACGTCGTTAGAGGTAGTCTTCTGTAAGAGGAAGCGCTAACTGGTTAGTTGCGTTTTGGTACGAATTCTAGTATCGATCAACGGTCATCAACAGCGACAGCATGACATCAGTGTTCAACGCTTGTGCTTCGTTGTCGTACAAGAATGAGTTATTTGAAGGCCTTATTGTGAAGAAAAGAATGAACCTGGACAGGGAACGGACTTACTGCTAGCTTACTAAAATCATTCTGAGGTGCCTACACCTCCAGACAGTCATTCAGGCAACCTTAATAAAAACCGACAAATTGCTGATATCGATTAGCAGCCATATCTCGCAGCATCTTTGATCAGACGCAGTGGGTATCACGCAGTCTTCATCCTGGTAGGCGAGTAGCGACGAGGGCAACCAAAAATTTCGTAATCTCTATCATACCCCCCTGTCAGGTAAAGAGTTGCCGACCTGTCATCATCACCACCATCATCATCATCATCATCGACAGCATGACATCAGTGTTCAACACCAATGCTTCACTGCCGTACGGTTGTACGTGGGGTGGGATACTGCCAGGGCGCCCACACCTAGACAGGAGGACGATTAGGGTCCTCAACCAAAGCCTTTGGCTCAAAAGCCTAACCGCAAGGCAGCGGTTTTCGCGGGAAATGCAAATGCATTACCATTTCTACGGAACAAGTCGCCACATGCTCCAACCCCCAACCTGGAGGGCCAGGAGACTGTGTTCGTCAGACCTCTAACCATTGACCAAACTGGTATGAGACTCTGTGTGTCGCGGGACACTCTCCAGTATAGCTCAATGGATCGCTGAGGTGCGCAAACCGTCACACCACGGTAAGGTCCAGTCTCTTCGTGACGGTTGCCCACCTGTCTGAATTGGGGACGGAAAACAGCATTCTCTTCGGCAAAAGATGGTTCGGCATACGCAACACCTGACCTAACCAACGCAGCTTTTGGTGCTGGATGAATTCTTCTATGCAAGCCCCCGTTGCACTTACTTCCTAATTCCCTCGTTACAAATTTGCCGACACCAAGCCAAATGACTTATGGTTCTGAGACAACTGTCGAACACTTGAAGATGTCCCAGTTCCGCTGCTCGGGCAGGCTAAATCTCACAGCCATACAAAACAGCCCGTACAGTAACTTGATACACACATCTCTTGAGATTCAGGAATATACCGCCTTGACGCCATAGGTGTCCCAAATTAGCGAACTTGACCCGTGCATTGACCTCATCCGCCACACTGCAGTCGGAGCCACTAAAACTTCCAAGATACACAAAACGCCCCATAGCTTCGAATCATAATGATAATAATCGTCGCAACCTTGCGGTGTCTAGCTGTCATGCCACCCAAAGGGGTGTCTCTTCTAGGATTGTAAGTGGCGTGTTCAGTGACTGCATGTCCGCGAGCAAGACCTTACACTTTATAGGTGCAGAGCGCATACCAAAAGACGGGATGACTTCGGCCAGCTCATCCAAAAACACCCGCGTCTTCTCTCCAAAGGCGAGAACGATGTCGCCCGCATATTCCGGAATGACATGGTTTTCGTCAGCAGCTCATGCAACACCAGGGTTCTGAAGACATTCCAGAGTATGTCTCTGTATCTTATCGATCACGAAACTAAATAGCAATGGAGAAAGTGGGCCGCCTTGACGGATAATGCTTTGAGTACGGAAGTTTTAGGGGAGGTCACTGTATGTTGGCACAAGACCGGAATACAGAGAATTTATTAGCTCCACAAACCTCCAAGGTATTCCTGGATGAGTAAGCACGTTAAGCGGAACAGACTGGTCAACTGAATCGAACGCGCTCTAGAAATCGTGGACCTGACGGAGTGTAAGCGTTCGGTCAACGCGACCTCTACCAGGCCGGAATCCCGCTTGCTGCTCTCAATTCAGTGTTTTAGGAACCACCATAAGGCAACGAAGCATTAGTGACGCCAACAGTCTCGTTACGACCGGAGTCAAGCTGATCCTCTGTGGTTAGGACTTACTGTGAGCCACTTTTTTTAAATAGTTACTATCACCGATTATCCTTGTCATGATTTTTGTGTGCTTATTATTATAATTGCCATATAAACTTATACTGAACCTTTGTATGTACATTTCAGTTCATGCACGCTTGTTCTTAGACAAGTAAAACGATGCTTATCCTCGAAGACCCGGACTCTGTTCCAACTTGTTCTCGGACGCATTCTAAACGTCTCAATCCGGTTGTCTAGGACAGTCTCCCTTTTCCAAGTGCAGACAAACAGATCAGACAGAAACTGACTGAGAACTTCCATCCCAACTTTGGGAGGTCATCAGGGCCAGTGGCCCGGTTGCACTTGAGAACATATGCAGTCAAAAAACTCGATAAACATGGGCCAGAACTGATTAGGCCAGGTGGATGCGAATTATACGGAATAGGTATCAAGTAGGTAGGAAAAAAGCCAAAGTGCCTGATGGATGAAAATGTTCAATGTTGATGGATTGAAGGGGCCAATCAACCACAGTCAAGCAACTATACTAGCACAAATGAAGTAAACAACTGACACTTATATGAACAATTGGTTGATAACTAAGTAACATGAAATATTGCCTACTTTGAATGAGTTTGAGTGCATCCTCCTTGGACCGAGTTATTTTCGCTTCACGCCAAGAGGATGGACGTCTGGAACCGGAATGCTTGACCAGTAAATGCAGACAACGGACTTTGTCAGAGGACGAAGCAGGGTGGGTGGGAAATTCCCATTGCGATTCTTGTGTTTCAGTATTCACATAGTAAGTTTTGCCTAAGATAGTCGAAAACAACATCAAGGAAAACTCACCTGTGCTACCACTAACTTTGGATATCCAACCAGCTGGAAGATTCATGGAAAAGTGAGAAAACCGCTCTGATACTCGTAAGTGTCTGCAAGCTGAAAAAAGAACAGGGTTCATGCACAGCAGTCACAAACTCAGACCCACAACCAAACTAAGGTGACTGATGGCCAGCTCGAGAATCACGATCAAACAAAGGATCTGTGGACAATGTACTTCTAACATAACGAAAATCCATACAGAATGCTACCTCACAACCATTCAGCTGGATCTTCGACAACATGGCTTTCTGCCGCAGTGCGGAGCAAACGGCTGTTTCACCATTGTTCGGAATCAGCAGCAGGGCGAAATTCCAGGGGGTTTCGAACCTGCGACTGCATGGCTGGTAGTCTGATCTCCTCACAAATCGGCAACGAGAATCTGACATATGGAATACATGTCCTAACTAGCATAACCTATAAAGCGTGAGCAATTCATCCATCGCGGGCAAGAGCCTTTTTCTTGAGACCATCTGGCGTACCCCAGCATCGCTAATCCACTGTTCAATGAACAGTGCTTCGGAGACACCGATGGTCAAACGCTGACATCTTTCGTATGTCCTCTGAGCATGGAGGTCACGTCTCTGAACCATAAAGTATTATGGATCGCATCACCCGTGTAAACTCTGCTCTTGACAGACAAACCAAAGTCACGTCGGCGCCACAGGTCGGCAAAAAATGCCCTGGCCTTCTCGATTCAATCAGTAATCTCATCTCCAGACGGTCCACCGGAGCTTATACAACTGCCCAGGTAAGCAAATTTATCTACCACGTCCATTGGCTCGCCTGCAAGCATGAGGTTTGGGTTTGATACAACCCAGTCTTCTAGCAGCACCTTACACTTTGTAAGTGTGAAGGGCATGCCAAACCGTACTGCAGGATTATTAAAGCTATTTAAAATCGTCTGCGATCAGAGCTAAGGAGAGCGATATCATCCTTATACTTAATCGAGCGTCCGGGAGCATTTGACTACCGAGGTTTCAGGGACAGCCAGACACAAAGTTGACGGAGAAGGGTGAGAGAGGATAGCCTTGTCTTACACCATTGGAAGTGGTGAACTCAGGTGATGCATCATCATCGACAGCATGACATCAGTGTTCAACACCGATGCTTCACATGTGATGAGGACTTAGTGATCGAGAGGCTGTACGGCCGAATGATATCTCCGTTTGCGCAGGACAAAGGAAGGTTCGCCTGGGGTACCCTACTTTCAGCAGTTTACTTAAAGATCAGACGCACAAGGCAATGCGAGTGGGGAAGGATTTCGTTGGAGAGCTCTGTCCCCAGGCTCATGGAGTTGTTTTTCGACTAGTTTGGGTAATCTGTCGGCGGTTATGGTCAACCGATAGATAATCGCCATGTGCGGTCTTTGGCGTGAATCTTTTTTTGCCAGTCCTCCCTCCAGGAAAGGCAACCCCGCTGATTGTATATATTTGACGACACCTTACGGCCTTTACACTACATCCTTCTTCCGTCCTGGAGTAGAACATCGATACTGAATTCAAAACTGACACGTTTTGGATGCCGGTGGTCAGTAAAGTTTTTTTTCTAATAGGTTCCGTCTTATAGTAAATGTCAGCTCCAATCAATCAGCATTTTTCGGCGCAACGTGCAGTATGCATATATTGGAAGTACAATAAGACTGAGTGTGATGCATGGCTAGCAAACCGGTCATTCCTGGTGCGGGGACTTGCGAAGAGATCATTCAAACTTGAGGAAGAGGGAAGTGTAAGAATGGGACGTCACCAGTAGCATGCTTTCGCCAACCTGCCCTAGTGAATGCAACAAGTAAGTCGACCCGGCTGATGACAGCATGCGACGACCGATGTGGCATAGGTTTATTTGTTTGAGTGCAATTCACAGTAGTATGCTAATAACAACCTCGTAGACAATTTCTTGTTAGTTCACCACATGCAACTAGGACCTGCACGATAAATACCTCATTTTCGACTGTATAGTCGCCGAATGGCGCGGTAGGTATAACTGATTTGTGTCAACAACGCTCTCATCACATGCAAGTGGAAACCGTGTAAGTCGCCGGGAATTATATTTAAGAAACGTTGCACCTTACACAGAGGCGGAGAGCGACCGAAACAAACACTTAAAAACGCTGTCGCAGAGCATATAAACGAAATTAACGTTCTATTCATTATTAAAGTGCTGCAGAGCCCTTCATGAACTCCTCACAGGTAAAAAATGACGAACCAAAAAGTTGTGATAATAGTGATATTCCGCAGTATGAAATAGCGCCAGCCACCAAGCCAAGAGGATGATAAGGGTCCTCAACCAAAATATTCGGTTCGAAAGCCTGACCGCAAGGCAGTGGTGTTTGTCGGGAAATGCAAGCGCAGTTCAATTTTTTCACAGGTTGCCATACATGTTCTAACCCCCGACCTGCAGGTTGGATGGTTAGGAGATTGTAGTGCTGGCCAGAATTCTAACCATTTACCAACCTGGTATGAGAAACTCTCAAAGAGAGACTCACAAAGACATCACCCATTGAACCATAATCGCCAGTATGGTTCAATGGGTCTAGACCCACAACTGAGGTATCCCTTGACTTCAGTGATGCATTCAAACCTGTCGATCGATTAGTATTTTTAACTACACTTGCTCAGAAGTTTGCGAACATAATTCGATCCCTATCTTCACACTTATGAGCGTCTGAGAATGCATGGTGGGCTGTCTAAGGGCTTCTCGAGAGGACGAAAGCGCAGCACAATCTCTGTTGAGTAAACTGACTACCATCACAACGCTTTTCTTCATCTATCCTGCATTTTCAAAGTACAAAGCCATGCCCAACAACACCCTCAGTCCAGAGTCGGCGACTTGCGGTCTGGACCGGGCAGCTGGTGTGTGAAGGCCAAAGTCAGGTTGGTATATAAGCTGATGTCGAGCTACAAATGGTCATTCCTCGATTGCTCCTCTTGCTGCCCGGGTGTCCACGACGTGCAGGACGCCGCCACCACGGTTGCAACGACGCTACAATGTAGTGTGTCAAAATCGCACAGTCGACGAGAAACCGCGTGGAGCTGAAACGGGACGTAAATGGGCGGATGATAGCGAACACAAACGACGAGGGGTGCACGGAAACGGGAGAAGTTCTGTCAACCAGCACGTGATCCAACACACAACTAAGAACAGCACTGACGGAACACAAACATATATTCCAAAACAACAGAAGGGGCGGCGTCCCCACGAACGAGCGACAAGCGAAACGGAATTGTGTACAAGTCCGAACCGACAAGTGTCAGCCTGACCAAACAAGTCAACAGAAGAAGAGTTGTCATTGATGGAGGCCACGCGTTCCTTTTTCATATCGAGGTCCAGGGAATGGGAATCTACCTGGGAAAGAAAG